CTAAAAAAGAAAAAGAAAAAGAAAAAGAAAAGCATTGCTGTGGTAATCAAGACCTCCTGTATGCAAACGTGTGTTAAAGGAGAACTAAACAATGCTCCTGGAAAGAATGTATGCTGAGTAATGGTCACGCTGTCCCTAAAGGTGCTCTTCTGTGTTAAATTACAAATCTGTTTGCCAAACAAATGTGGGTTCTACCTTTAAAACCTCTAAGGGGGGCCTGGCCCTAGCTCAGTCCTTTAAGTGGCTGCTTCCACAAAGCTGTCAGCCTCAGGTTCCTGGAGTTCGAACCTCACAACTCTCCCACTGGCCAAAAGTGCCCTGAAGGCATTCAAGGAAGAAAAATAAAACCTCTAAGGTTCCTTGCCGTTTGTCCTCTACTACATGAGTATGGTCAAGTGGTCCCCGGCTCAGAAATAAAGTCTCATAAATTTTAATTATGGATTTTGTTCTGGTTTCTGATAGGTTTTAACAGTGTCGCAGCTGAGAAACATGTAGAAGGAAAAGGGAAAGGGGCTTTAGTATAAAGGAAAAGGGACTTCATTATCTTAGAGGACACAGAGAATTTGGGAAGATAAGGAATTCTCTGGATTGGAACAAAAGGAGGCTGAAGGTTTTATGGCCTTTGCCAAGAGTGGGGCTTGAGGTGGAAGTTTAGATAGATTTGAGGAGCTGACTGGGGCCTTCCCTGAGGTGGCAGGAAAGGTGAAAGGAAACTGCATCCTGGGCTGAGTTGGAGAAGAAGGAGAGAGGTGGTCTCTGGGAAGATGAGCTGTTGTTTTAAGGGCTTCAGCCATATTAGATGACCACCATAATAATTCAGCAATTCTTACTAGGGCCATAACCTATCAGTTTCTATGTTGAGAATCCCTAACATTTGGGGCTTGTCTGGGATCTCATTAACTGGGATCAAATAGAAACAGTTCTTTCAGAGAACTGTAATTTGGGGAGACTCTTTGGCCTCAGACTCATAGAGGTCTCCAAAAGTTTTCAAATTCTTTGTTGATTAGGACAATACAAGCCACTTGGAACCTTTTGCCAGTAAGAGATCTTTTGTTCTGTTGGGGTGCTCCTTGGCGAGTCACAGGAGGAGTTGGATGCAACATAAATCCCCTGGATTCTGTTTGATCCACAATGGTGGGTCTGAGCATTGAATTTGTCCTTGGTTTCACTTTGCCTTTGTTTCTTGTCCATTGGTTGTGTCGTTTCATAATTATGTGTCTGTCTGCTTCTGCTTCTTTGCTGTCATTGCAATGTATTCTTGACCATTTCCATTCTGAGGATGAGATGCTCACTACTGGGACCTTATCTCCCCAGGGCCTCTCTGTACTTTGTGCTAACTGGCGTGGCCTCAACTATTGGAGTCCACATGGCCTCCAGAAGGCTCTTTAAACATCTCTCTTGCTTATCAGGTCCGCAGTGTCATATTTAGAAAACCCGGACTTCCCCATCAAGTCCCATATATCCAAGCATGGACAGACTTATTACAGGACCCTCCAAAGTGGTTGAAGACCTGTAGCTGTACAGAACGATAGCGCTGGCTGCCGCTCCGGAAAGAGAGATCCTCAAACTTCTAAATAGCCATCTGTATGGCTCCAGGCACCTGAATCCCCGACATCCAAACTGTCCTGTCCCCCACCTTACCCTTCAACCCCTACTAGCCCTGCTCCACCGCACACTTGCAGCGGACTACCCTTCTCTCAGCCTCTTCCCTCAGCCCCCAAAGCTCCTTCCTCCACCTTGGCCATGGTGATTCTTCCCCTTCGTGAACAACTGGGCAAAGGGGGCCATCTCTTCATGGTTTATGTTCCCTTTTCAGCTAGTGATTTGTACAATTGGAAAAATCAGAATCCGTCTTTTTCTCAGAACCCACGTGGACTTATTTCCCTTTTAGAGTCCATCCTCTTCACTCATCAGCCCACTTGGGACAACTACCAGCAGCTTTTGCAGACTCTCTTCAAGTCGAAAGAGAGAGAGAGAGAGAGAGAGAGAGAGAGAGAGAGAGAGAGAGAGAGAGAGAGAATTTCCATTCGCCAGGAGGAATCTTTCCCTTTGACTTACCCCCCTGGGATCCCAATTCTCACGGAGATAAGGAAGCTCTCCAACAGTACTGCCAGTTTCTCTTAAAGGCTATCAGGGTGGCGGCTAGAAAGCCTAACACTTTGTCTAAAGTTACGGAGGTCTGTCAGGGACCACATGAGTCTCAGGTGGTGGTCCTTGAGCGCCTCCAAGTGGTATATAGGATGTATGCACATGTAGACCCAGAGGCTCCTGAGAGCCGCACCTTAAACATTGCTTTTGCGTCTCACTCAGCCCCGGACATTAGAAAAAAGCCTCAAAGATAAGAATTTGAAAAAAAGTCATTAACAGAATTAGTGAGATATATCAAAAGGTTTTTAACAACAGAGAAGATTCTCAAGAGAAAACCAAAACAAAACAAAACAAAAAAAATGGCCAAAAGAAAGACGGCAAAAAGAAACCACTCGGGTAAAAACCAATACACCTATTGTAAGGCAGAAGGCCGCTGGAAAAAGGATTGCCCTAAACTTCAGGAAAAAAGGCCAGCCCAAGTTCTAGCCCAGGAGGAAACAGATTAATGAGGCCAGGGTTCACAATCAGGCCCCCAGGAGCCCTTGGTCACCTTAAAGATAGGGGGCCAACCTGTCCAGTTCTTGGTTGATGCCAGAGCCAATTATTCAATTTTACAGGAGCCCATTAGGCCTCCGTCTGACAAAAGGGCCCAAATTCAAGGGGCTACAGGAAAAATAAAGATGTATCTATGGACCAAGGCCTGACTGGAAAATGAGGTCCAAATAGATGACCCACTCATTCCTGGTTATGCCTTAATGTCCATATCCCCTCATTGGTCGTGACTTGCTCCACAAGTTACAAGCTCAGATATCCTTTGGAGAAAACAACATAACATTCTCATTTGGAAAAGAGTGTCCTTGCCTCAGACCATTTTGTATACTTGTCCCGTGTCTGAGGAATATTTGTTGTTGGTTGAAGAGGTGTGTCAAGGGGGGTCCATCAGATTTATTCTCCAAATGGATTTCTGAGATTTCTGGGGGTATGGGCTGAACATAACCCCCCGGGCCTAGTTGTCTATCAGCCCACAGTTGTAGTCTCTTTCCTGCCTGGGGTTTCCCCTGCTTGGGTCTGTCAATATCCCTTGAGTCTACAAGCCCAACTAGGAATCAGCATTCACATACAGCAGCTAAAGAAGGAAGGTATTCTTGTGCCTTGCAAATTGGCTTGGAAAATGCCCCCGTTGCCAGTCCAAAAGCCAGGAATGTCAGCCCAATGAGCGAAGTTAATCACATTGACTCAAGGTCTTCTATGAGGACAAGACAAGAAGGTAAATATCTATACAGACAGTAGATATAATTCTGCTACTCTGCATGTACATGTTTGCCATTTATCAAGAATGTGGCTTATTAACCACAAGTGGACACAGGATCAAGAATACACAAGAAATACTGGACTTATTGGCAGCTGTTTAGTTACCAAAAGATGGCAACGGTACATTGTAAAGAACACCAAAAAGATAACTCTCCAGTAGTCATTCCTTAGCTGACATGACTGCTAGGGAGGTGGCCACTTCCTGCCCAACTCTCTGTATTACCTCCAAGAGCATTTGATAAACCTTGATATTCAGACTCTGATTTACAGCTAGCCAAACATTTATATTTTTTCTAGCAAGTTGTAGGAATTTATTTTAAATAACCTGCAGTTGATTAAAAGGGAATTCATTATAAAGATAGAAGATGCTTGAGGAAAGATGTGGACTCTGTACACACTAACCACTCCTCTAAAACTAACGATTATAGTAAAAATGTTTTCACATTAAAATTCTGCTTTTTATGCTTTTTCTCATTTTTTTTTACACAATAACAAAGAAAAAAAAGCCTTAAAATCTTGATTTTTTTCCCTCTGTTGGGCCAAGTACTCATTTTCCTTTAAATTTATTGACCTGTGGAACTTTTCATACAATAAAATCTTTCAAGTGAAAGACTGAGGTTTAAAAAGAAGAAGATGGCTATCTTAAAGGGTACACAGAATGCTCCAAACAAAGAATGATGGGAAAATGGTTTCAGTCATGATTTCATTATCCTTAGAGACTCATTTGCCCTTCATCCCTCTCTGACCCCACTTTACACTATCTTTAAGATCAAGAAAAAGGTTTAAGTATTTTAAAATAATTAAAAAGAAATAAAAATTCACATTTAAAAAGGAACACTCAAGTCAGGAAATATTTTCCCATCATGCTTTTCTGTCTGAACCAAAACACTGTCAATGTCATAACTGCTCTAAGTCTTATGAAAACTGATTCCCATGACAATGGAGTGAAGACTTTAACAGGCATGCTGGATTTTTGTTCTACTTAGTTTTAACTTCCTGAAGTGGGGAGAGGGAGTTGAGGAATTTGTTTCTATTAAAATATAGAAGCTATTGCGAAACCCTAACTGTAAAAATGCACCAATATAATTGGACTTGGCATACAGTAGCTAAGAGAATCCAAACACTTCAGTGAAATAGTGAATTTGCCTGGCAAATGCTGACAAATCCCCATTCACTTGCCCACTGAAAATAAAAAAATTCAAAACAAATCATACAGCTAGAATTTTGATATCTGAAATATTTTTAAATAAGTTGTCCATAGGGCAACTGGCTCAGCTCTCCCTTATAATATATCCAGGTTTATCTTTTTGCAAAGATGTTGGTTAAGACTTGCTGCCTCTTTCCCTCAGGCATGAGGGGAAGTGAGGCTCATAGTTTATCTATCTTCCCCAAACCACACTGTTCTTTTCACAAAACCCTGCCCCTTCAGACTGGCTAAAACACGTAGTCCTCATCAGCCATGTTGATGGCCCAGGCAAACTTCTCCCATTGAATTTTGTTGAAAAGTTTTTCAGTCGGGCCCCCCCACTTCTTGCACCAAGCCACTGTGATCCTAGGGCCCAGATAATTGAGTTTGGAGGTTCCCAAAGTGACTTGCTTACTCCTCCTGGTCTGTAGCCTGAACTTCGAGCTTCATCAGCTGCTCCTCCAGTCTCTGCACAGCTTTCTTCTTGGACTCTACTACCTTCTTGGTCTTCGCATCCTTCATGACTTTGGCATCAGCTTTAGCACTTTTCAGGTCCCTCTGAACGTTTGCTCTCAGATCCTTCTTGGCATCAATCTTAGACTGCAAAGTTCATCATAGACTTCCCAAAAGTTTTTGGCGGTGCCCTCTGGTGGTTACACAGAATTGCAACAGCTCAATTGACGCAGTTGTAAGAGAGAATCTTTGCCGAGATGTTCTCATCCGGGGCTGTGACAGTTCTTTTAGCCACTGCTGTAGCATGATGGAGGCATTGTATGTATGTAACACCTTGGCAGTCAAGCCCTCCATGAGATCCTGAAGGTGCTTGTTTAGAATACCAGTATCAAATCTATCAAACAGATCATCCTCGGGCTGCTTGTTCTCCATAAATAACTGCAAATTCTTAAAAACTCATTTTTCTACTGGGGTCTTGTTATAGGATCTAATGGAGTCCTTCCCAAGGAAATCAAACTCAACCACATATTCCTGACCATCCAATTCTGGGTACAGGTTGATATACTCCACAGGAAGTGAAGAGCAACCTACGGTGTCTGCTGTTTTTCTTTCTTCCTTCTCATTCCTGCTCTCAGAGCAAGCTTGTCAATGAAATAAAATGCCACAGAGCTCTCTTTTGGACTTTAATCTTTTTGGATTTCCAGTCTTTTTAACACTGGTTTCGGATGTTGTCCACACACTATTTCAACCACCAGGCAGTCTCATATTTCTGCCAGTCTTTCTCTCCCTTGATTCGTGAACTAGGATTCAACATGATGTATTTAATGGAACCTTGGATAGTCTCTGTCCAGGAGACCAGCCAAGTTACTTTGTTGTCATACCTGACCTCTTTTCACTTATGTCCTGGAGGCAGGGAAGGAAGCTTTAGCCAAAAGTTTAAAGACCACCTTGCTATATGACAATTGGCACAAACTGCCAGATGGATGTGTCCTCCTCCCTGAGACACTTGGTCAACAGCTTGTTCAACAGATCCATCAGGGAACCCAGCTGGGAGAAAATAAACTGTCAGAGCTACTGAGGAGATCCTACTTCATACCCAAATTAAATCAGCTAACAAAGGAGGTGAGCCGACCCTGCCTTCAATGTGCTCAGGTAAATCTGAGAAGGATTACTCCTGAGCAAGAACAATGAGTCCGAGGTATGTCACTTGGGGAACATTGGGAAAATGACTTTACGAAAATGGGTCCCGAGAGAGGCAAATATTGCTACCTCCTCTTCCTGACTGATACTTTTACTGGATGGCCTGAGGTGTTTGACACTTGGACTGAATCTGTTTGCAAAAAGGCTATTGACAGAAATCATTCCCTGATTTGGCTTGCCCCTAACTAGGGGGTCTGACAATGGTCCAGCTTTTATACCCTGAGTAACCAAAAATTTGTCCTAATCCTTAAAGATAGAATGGAAACTTCATTGTGCTTCCAGATCCCAGAGTTCAGGACAGATAGAAAGAATACCACATTTTAAAGGAAACTATTGCAAAGTTAGGGATTGAAACTGGTGAAAACTGGGCGAGTCTCCTTCCTTTTGCCCTACTCAGGGCCTGTTGTACTTCCTGTATAACCTCCTTTAAATCTATGTATGGAAGAGTTCCCCCATTAGTTCCTAAATTGGGGGTGAAATATTGACATCCAATACTAACCAAGAACTTGTTAAGTCTTTACAGGCTCTGCAGTCTGCTTGGCAGGCTATTCACTCCCTCTTCCACCATCACCACCCATAACCTAAAGAAACTGGTACCCCACTGCCAGCTATTCTGGCTCACTGGTGTGGATGAAGAAATGAGATCCATCTACTCTAGGACCCCATCGGGTTGGACCATACCCTGTCATCTTGAGCACTCCCACTGCAATCAAGGTTGCAGGAAAAAGACATTGGATCCACCATTCTCACATCAAGCCTGCCTCCATGGACCAACAGTCAGATAAGTGGACTTTGCAAAAGACTGCCGATCCCTTAAAAGTTAAGCTGATAAGATGTCATTCTACTGGCTACTTGTAGAGCTAGCAGAGGCCCAACATTACCCCACCACTTATATGTGGTAGCTGACTCGAACTCTAGATGGAGTGGAATTAGCAAAAAATACTTCTACTCAGGCTCCTGAGTTCCTTGTCTCGCTGTATAGCCTCTTAAGATGCAAGGAAAATAAGATAAAATGAGCCCTGATGAAAAAATACCTGTCAAGGACATCCCCCATTCTACCTATGCCCTTGCACAAGTAGCAATTACATTTGTGGGGACGTCACAGAAGATGGAGGGGTCTTTTGCTGGAGCTGAAGATGTGAGACTATTGCCCTTTGCATAGACAGATATCTCTTATTGAGTGTAACTAGGGTTCCCACAACCAACCAGCTAAAAATAAAGGTCAAACAAGCCACCAATAGATTGTGGTTTGGAGGTAATGATTGGGGCCTTAGAACCTATGTAACGGGACATGATCCTGGGGTCGCCTTCACTATAAAGAACAGGCCAGACCCGTGAAATGAGCCCTTCCATCTTATTGGGCCACTAAATGGCCTTGTTTTGCCTCCACAAGTTTCTCCTCTTAAGACTACCATGCTTCCTGGCCCCAGCACAACCTCCTCACTCTATGATAACCATCTATCACTCCCCCCTTTGAGTCCAACTGGGAACCTTATTTTCTGACCCCTAGACTTGATGTTTCAGCTGCTTAACAAAACCTCCCTGAGCATGACATCTGATTGTTGGCTTTGCCTAAATCCTGAACCCATATTATGTGGGGTTGGCTAGTTTCAATACATCTTCACTTGCTATATGTGCACCTATGTTTATAGCAGCACAATTTGTGATAGCCAAATCTTGGAAGCAAGTAAAATGCCCATAACCTAAGGAATGGATTCAAAAGATGTTGTGTTTTTATACAATGGAGTATTACTCAGCTATAAGGAATGATAAACTCGAAGTCTTCATATATAAGTGGATGCCACTTGAAGACATACTCATAAGTGAAATAAACCAGATCCACATGTGTAAATACCACATAGTCTCCCTAGTGTAAGAACTCAAGAGAAGAAATACAAATACAAAGTTATGACACAACTAAATGGAAAGCAAGACTGTGAGGATTAAACAATGAAGAGAGGGCAAGGAGAAAAGCTAAGAAACATGGCAGGGGCAAAACCATACATTTATATACAAAAGATGGTTAAGGCAATGATCCTGAGAATCTCCATCAGGTTTTTCAAACTAGCAGTTAATTGGTAGGATTCTCACTGATTGGTACTGATTCTCATCAGTATATATGCTGATACCTGTGACCTAAGCAAATGCACTGAAAATAGCAATGTGTAATACTAGGGCCATGCTTGAAATCCCTGTCATTCTGGTCTTATATATGCATACTGCTTCTAATGTCATATCAATTACTGCTATACTCTCAAGTAAACGTTTATTTTTAAAAGAGAAAAAAAAGGTAATAAATGAAAACAAGAGGCAAGAAAAAAAGTCAATGGATTATCCTGCCACAATGTTATATATGGTTAGATTTCTAAATTTCTATGTAAAAATTTGTAATTGTTTATTTCTATCTTTTTACTTTAAAAATTTTTTTCACATTCCACAGGGATTTAAAGTTTAGCATATCAATGACTGATAGAAAATACCTGTTCTATGTTATGTCTAAGGCATTTGATATTTAGACAGATACTGATGTTAAACTCAACAGCCTATGTTTTAGAGTAATAATATCATTAAGCTTCTCTTCTGGAAGGTTAACAACTTAAGTTTCCAGACCAAAAAATTGGAGGAAAAGAAGGGCTACAAGGATAGCCAACATGGAGGCCCTAGCCCTTCAAGGTCAGTGAGGACTCAGGACATAAGAGAACTATAACATCCTGTAACTCTGTAGTGTCTCAAATGTTCTGATCAAGGAGATTATGGGGACACAGAGGAAAGTGATTGATGATGTAGAGTGTGCCTAAGGAGAGTTACATGGAGAGAAAACATTCTCTCTGGCTTTCATAGACAGAAAACTGGTCAAACAATGGCCATGACTCATCCACATGGCTGACACTGACAAAGGATCTACAAACTGTGGTACAGGGTTTCAGGGCAAATCCTGAGGGAATTTGACTGACCTTGTCAGATACAAAAGTTACATTTTTTTGGTTATATATGTCTTGCTTTATCTTGGTCTTCACTATCCAGCAGAAAAACATAAAAATAAGGTATAAAAAGTAAAGTCATATTAATATGCTGAGCTGTAAAAGGCTCAAGTCAACAACTTCTGACATTGCCAGTCTTATGGCTAACCCACTACTATTATGGACTGCTGGCCTATATTGGATTATTTTGCTGAGTTCACGCACCTACAATATTTAAATGGCAGTGGAATACCCATCTCTGACAAAAGTAAACAAAAAAGGGGGATATAAAGGAAGGACCATTTTTGCAGTGGAAAAAAAATCTGTATAAACAAAATAGCATAGATATACAGCTACTGGAGTTCCAGGAATCCCCAGACCCAGTCCTAGCCCAGGTCC